ATTTTTCAATTTTAACCAATGTGTATTGATGTGTTAGGGATAATGTACATATACTGCATAATGTTATCATTTAAATGTAAAAATAAAATACAAATTGGTTAAAATCGAAAATTTATATTTCTAAGCGAAATAGTTCAGTCTTTAATTTTATAAATACCTGAATTAAGTTACTTTTTCTCATAAACTTTGTTTTGATGCATCTGTCGGATTATTCAATGCATGCAATTTCTTTTCTTTTAGCATCTTTAGTTAGGGGGGTGTTTTTTCTAATATTTTCTTCATGATGGTTAAAATTTGTAACTTTTTGCTCCAAGAATGAAATAAGAAGCAGTTTTGACGTGTTTAATTGTTTATGAATTGAATCAGTTATATATTTAAAAAAAAAAATACATGAAAAGAGAACGTTGAACGCATTTCAGAATTCCTGAAACTCAGGAATTGAATGCAATTTCATTGTATTTGAATTGTAGTTAAAAATTTTTCCCATGCTATAAAACAAAAGGTGTGAATCTCGGTGTCTGTTGAAAAGGGCTTCATTGTTTTAGAATCACAGGTGTCATTAAATGTATTGTACACATCCTGTCTCTACCTGAAAGGGGGTACACTATCTCGGTTGCGTTTGATGTAATTTTGACATGCCCCTCAATCAGTGCGACGTCTTCCACCGGTGTCTTCTACCTATTCCCACTTTTTAAAAATCTCAATTCCACCTATTCCCTCTTGCAAATAACAATAAATGTTTATATAATAATTTTACTACAGTAATTACATCCCATCTTGGATTTACCTGTATTTTGTACATTTGAAGACAGAAAATAAATAGTTTTATTAGACAAAATGATTTATTTTAATCATATGCATTACATATATAAGAAATGCATAATATATTTAATAATTTGAAAATAAAGGGTTACAAACCCGTAATAAATCTTGAAAGTTTATGTAATTCTTAATCAGTTATTTTTTTTATGACAGACATTCTTAAAGTTTGAACATCAGCAGTAGTTTTCAATATAACGTAATAAAACGTAATTTTTATGTGTTCTGAGAGTCACGTGCACAATATTTCCAGTCAGCATCCTCATTTTGTCTCTGTAGTCCTTTTTTGACATATATTTGGACATTTTTTATAAAAAAAAATAGTCTGTTTCCGGGGAGATCGGTTTTCATATAAGTACTTTTTTTTTCAAAATCTTAGGCACTAATATTCATGACTTTGGAGATTTTCTGTTTGTTTTGTTTGATTTATAAAATTCCATAGATTCATTTCTAAAGACAAAAACCTCACAAACTAATTTTTGAAAATGTAATCAAAACATCAGTCATTTATGGAAAAAAAATATAATGACTTTGTTTAATATTGCTTATATCACAATGATATTGCAAGAAAATGGGCTTTAGAATAGATTTATAAATATTTTATTATTGTGCAAAAATATAAACATCAAAAGTCGGGACATTTTGTTAAAAAAACACATTGTATAGAGTAATGGATATAGCGTTGCTTTGCACAATGCTTCGTTGGAAAGCCTAATGGGTTAGGCAACAGACAATACCAAAATACCCTTTTATGCCGTTGAAAGTCAGTAATGTTTAAAAAGATAATTTATTGTTACAGTTATATAATTAGATCGCTAAAAATCATGTATTCTTTTTAATGTCCTACTTTAGCACAAGTCATGATTATCTTTATATAGTGTTAATGAAAATAAAATAACCATTTAAGTTATTTCCACCATCGCAATTCTAATGGTTCAAAGTACAAAAACTGCATTTATTTTTATTTCATAAATTTTAAATTTTTCAATTATTGCAAAAAATGCATAGGTCGCCATATTATTTAAGGTGTGAGACAGAAATAAACAGAAGTATATGTCAACAACAATATCGCACATTTTTTTGTAAACAATATTATGAGAAATATGTAAAAACTGGTTAAAATGCATATTTCTGATGCTGTATGAAATCCTAAATACTTTCTACTAATAAGATAATTTTGAATTGAGAATATCAGGGAAACTATGTTACATTAGAAGTATAATAAAGCAAATGCCCGAATGAAGAGACCTGAGAAGGAGTTATTGCCCTTGTCAACATTTTTTAAAGATTGAATAATTGATTAAATAAAAAAAATGCTTATTTTAAATTCTTTTACTTTACAATATTTATCATTACACCTATTGAAAAGCATTCCTCCAAAAGATATTGTTCTATCAGGTATTAATTTTAACTAAAAACAGTTTTTGCAAAAACCTATGACATCATAGGAGGGTGGAATTACTTTAAGAGAAGGTTCTCATTTTTGCCGTCAATTTTTTCATGATTTTAGAATAACTTTGACTGTCTGACAAGCCTTTTCGACCAAATTAAAGACTTAAGTCCCAGCTACAGACAACCTCAAATTTTTTTCACAGAGATTGTTTCTAGAGGAAAATTTCGATTTCCTCTGCAGCGTGAAGAGTTTGATGCAAGGGGTAGGACTGTTAACAATAAGATGAAGAAAATCCTTGGCAGAACCTATATCAGAATAGATGTCAAATTTCCAAGACATTACTTTCCCGATGAGACCCACTTCAACCAGGCGGGAACAGTCCTCTTCTTGCTGTCAATAAGCAAGACCATCAAGAGTTGACAATAAACGGCCCTTTTAAGGGCCATTCAATTATTCGAAAAGATACCAATGAATACAGTTAGGTATTTAAAACAAGAAACATTTTGACTCAAGCGGCAAACCACAATGTTCCTGTTATGAGAGGCAACAAACTGATATTACTTGATTTGTTATTAATAAAATATATCATAAAAATCTATAAATATGTCACATTAAAACAGTGCATGCAATATTGCAGGCGCGTATTTTATTTGAACAACCGATTTTTTTTTTCATACATAAATTTTATAAGTAGCCTTTCACGAGACAATTACCGGTACTTAGGTTAAAACACAAAAAATATTTGGAATCTCTTTCTCTAGCATATCTTAAAGGAGGGACTGTTGACCCCCCATCCCATTCAGATCCGCTAAATTGCATTTCTCCTTATTTTGGCACACTATAAAACATGCTATATCCTTGTCTGCTGCAGCAAAAAATTCGTATTTGTGAGAATTAAAATTTTACATATAATGAAAATCCTTAGGAAATATATACATGTACCTACATGTACATGCTAATATTCTCTGCGCTTCAAAATTCGTCAATCAGGATTTGATCAGATACAACTCTTACCCGATTATTTATTCAATTATAATTTTATTTATATTGCATTTTTGCTAATTCTCAAATACCGAAAACAATCTAGAGAAATTAAACAAATCTCCATTTATTGATCGAAACAATGTTGTTCAATGAAATCATTTGTAGCAAATTAGATAAAACAGACCGTTATTATTAATTTTTCTTGGTGGATATTTCTGATGGCATACGTTATTACCAGTTTCGTCAAAGATACATATATTAAACACCGAAAAGAAAAAATAAAACGCTATTTTCAATCTTGGACGGACATTTTGTAGGGACGAACATAACGTGACGACAATTTTGGATGATTGGCGGACACTTCGTGACGGCAGAAATAGTGTGACGATTTTGGGGGGGGGGGGGGGGGGAGGCGGACATTTCTTGGTGGCGGACATAATATTACTATTTTGGGGGGAGAAAGGCGGACATTTTGTAGCGGCGGACATAGTGTGACGATTTTTCCGAAAAAGAGGCGGGCATTTCGTGACGGCGGACATAACGTGACGATTTTTCCGAAAAAGAGGCGGACATTTCGTAACGGCGGACATAATGTGACGGCGGACAAAACGTGACTCAACATAAGCCTTCAAATCGTTCTATGCTGTTTGTGTTTGAATGAAACATACTTTTGAACCCTTTTGAAGTTTCAATATTTTTCGACAATTTTTTATAATACATGTGTACATGTATGACATATGCACTTATCAATTACGCAAATTTTGATCTCTCTAGAATCTCCATACACAATTATTGCACGCGCGTAACTTTAATTATATAATAGAAATCATCACTTACGTTACTTTCAATGTCAGGAACGCAGGCGTTTTTATTAATTACTAGTAATTCCTGAGGGCAAAAACATTTTCTCGCCTTCCAAACTACCATTGATGCCCTGACATATCTAACAAACTAGGCAGTAATTAAGAAGGTCTAAAAGTTTATTTACTGGAAATTGTTTAAGATTACGTGATCAAATGTATTGAGAAGCCGTTTGGACCCAAGGTTTCATTTCCAATACAATGTACTTTTACCTACATTTGTACACATTTCAAGAGAAATATGAAAAAAAAAATGGCGTGGCTTCAATAGTGGTTTTCGAATATTTAGCGTTAAACATTGATGGACGTATGACAGTATTTAATTTCTTTTATACTGTTGCTCCAAAATACTTCTTCTTCAAATAAGAATCGTTGCATTATCAAATTCATAGAATTTAAAGGAGAAATAGTTCTTGTTTTTTTTAAAAGGCAGAACCTTTTTTCAGACTTCAATCATCAGAACATAAAAGCGTTTACAATTTGAATGCCACTTTTCTTTAAAAGTCAGATTGTGTAATTTGTATATAAAGCATTCGAAAATTACAGTTAAAGTCACGGAATCCTGTACTGAATGTCACAGCCATGTACGTTGAAGACATCGATGCTCAGAATTTGTAGCTACGATAGAGCCGTAGTTCTTTTATTAACCAGAAATAATATAATAAAGTTTTAAAATTTTTATTAAGTGGGTTAGATTAACAGGCGAATTATGACGTTTTGTTTTCTACATAAACCTGTTTTATTGTGGATTCTTTGCTGGTTACCCAAGTTGTGAGTGTATATTTAGAGGCAAACATCTACAGCAACTGCTTTCCTATGACAGCATCGGATCCAGCATTTATTTTATTTATTTCCTTTAAGAAAAATTTAACTTTCTTTCATATGAAAAAAAAATTCAAAATGAAAAAAATATAAGCAAGGCATTTGTACCTTTATTTTTTTAGCATACAATGCGGGTTACGAACAACTTCCCGTACACCCAACACAGCAGCCCTCAGGATATAGTTACCCGCTGACGAGAACCTCAGCCAATATTGTTGTAAGTTTGTGGCCAAATATATAAATATCACCTAAAATGTTTAATTCAACTTGATTCAAGTACAGGAATGTTGCACGTTCATTTAATGTGTAAAATGAGATTTTAAAGAAAAATAATGTAATGAATTGCAAGTGAACAATCTGATTTTTTGTGATAAAATATGTACATTGTAAATTTTTATTGAAATTGTTTTCCTTTTATCTTATAGGTGAATAGTGCCCCTACACCTAGAGTTATTGCTGCACAAAGAGAACGCGATTGGCTGGGGCCCGCCGTTTTTGCATGTCTCTGCTGTTTCTGGCCCGTTGGCCTCTGTGCCACCAATGCAGCTGTTAATGTATGTTTATCTTCTCAATAAAATAAATTTTTAGACATGATTGTATAAACAAAAGGTATGGAAGGAACTGTACGTAGACTCGATTTCATAATTAGATTCAATTTGTACGTCAAGGGCTATTATCATTATAATTATATAGTCATAATTTAGATTACAACTACATGTAGATCTAGAGTCACTGTCAGTAGTGAGCTCACTAAATGATACCCTGCCTCCCATATAAATATAATGGCAGTGTCCATGTTTTGCTAAAGGACACCCAAAACATGTGTTGGATCACAGAGTCAAGTAGGGGGTGCACAATGGCAATATGTAATAAAACTTCTGTGAAAGTCATCAAATTTCATTCCATGCTATGAGAGGAGTTGTGGATAAGAGATGGATATCCAAAGCTTTACAGACGGACGTACGGACGATTACTATACACCCTCCCGCTTTCAAGCGGGTGGTATAATAAATTAACAACCGATAACTGATATTAAGGTAATTCGACCCTCCTACGATGTCATAGGTTTTTGCAAAAACTGAAATTAGTTAAAATTCATACCTTATAGAAAAATACCTCTTGGAAGAATGCTTTACAATAGGTGTAATGATAAATATTGTTTAGTTAAAGAATCTAAAAAATGCATATTTTCTATATGTAATTAATTATTCAATCTTTAAAAAATGTTGACAAGGGCAATAACTCCTTCTAAGGTCTCTTCATTTAGGCATTTGCTTTACTGTAAAATAGTTTACCTGATAATCAGAATTCAAAAGTATCTTTAAAGTAGGAAGTATTTAGGAACACTCAGCATCAGAATTATGCATTTTAACCTGTTTTTACATATTTTTCTCAATACTGTTTCCAAAAATGTATATTTTTTATGTTGACATACACTTTTGTTTATTTATGTTTCGCATCTTAAATAATATGGTGACCTATACATTTTTTGCAATAAATGGAAAGTTTAAAGTATATTGAATGAAAATAAATGCAGTTTTTATACTTTGAACCTATAAAATTGTGAGGGTGGAAATTCCTTAAATCAATATTGTATTTATGTTTACTAAAAGTAAAAGTTGTTTCATCCAGATGTCTAAAAATATGTCTGTTACGATATTTACTTAAGGACATACACAACGTACCTAACCAACTGCATTTTTTAAAAGATATTCGAAATTTCAAATTATAGCACCATTACATGATCTTAGACATAAAATTAGCATGTGTTATCATGAGTTTTGAGCAGATATCACAAAATTCTTCCATTATTTAAAGGAAAATTCACACAAATTACTAAACAGATTCTTTGTCTTTGATAGTTTCATCAAATTTTATTCAGTGGTATGAGAGGAGTTGTGGATAAGAGATTGGTACCAAAAAGCATAACAGACGAACATCCCGATTACTATATACCTTCCCGCTTTTCAAGCAGGTGTATAATAAAAACCCATCTAAATTTTATTTTGATGGTCTTATATACATGCTTAAAATTAACAGTTGTTTATTTAGGTTCTCTATTTTTTATTTCTTCAGGCAAGATCCCGTTACGACGAGGGTGACTATGAAAATGAGAGAGAGTATTCAAGATCGGCTAAACAGTTGACCTTGATTTCACTCGTACTCGGCATCCTCTGTATTACTGGCTTTACTATCTTCCTAGTTTTCCGAATGAAAGAAGTGTTCGAACCAACAGGAGCAACCACACAAAACCCCTTTGGGATCTAAAGTGTTAACTTTGCTTTAAAGGTTATTAAATTATAACCAATTTATTTGTACTTTTTACTAGCATTCAATGAGCATAGAGTCTTTAATTCTTGGTTGTAACTCATGGGAATTTTTCATACACAGATTAACATTCAATTATATAAGTAACCTGCTTTCTTTCACTTGGTCATGTATTTGTTTGAACAAAAAAGGTTATCCTGTCTCCAAGAAATCCTATCCGATCAACTGTGAGTTTTTTGCAAGATATTTAAAATCACTTGTAATGGTCTTCAAGTTACTAACATCAGTTTTGCACCGTCTAATAAAATTTATTTACCATACTGTTTTGTGATTCTTATACTGTACAGTAGCTGAATAAATGGAACGAAGTTTAACCAAATAAAGGGAACTTTCAAATTCAGTCTTCATCACAGGAAATGTTGGGTATTGTGGACCCTAAAAATGAACTCATTCATCTTTGAATTTCTTAATCACCAGAGTCTAATTACTGGATCATGATTCTCGAACAAACCGTTAAGTGAAAACACACATGCTCATAAGTACAGGAACGGCAAGATAATTGAATTATAAAAACTCTTATTAAAAAAATATTGAGTATTGGAGTTTTATGAAGAGACTTACTTTTACAATCGACGACTGACTTTTACAATTTAAACAGAGACAAACTCTAATCACTAAAATGTAAAAGTCAGCTGTCAAATGTAAAACTAAGTCTCTTCATAAAACTCCTATAGGGACGATTTTGTTCACAACGCCACCTCAAACCGGACTGTAAATGTAACATGGGACATTACATTGAATGGGTCTGAAAATAAAATAAAAGTAAAGATGAATTAAATGTTCAAGGACTAACCCTAATCAGGCACATAGTTTGCAACAAGAACCCTAATTATGCAAATAGTGTGCGAGGACTAATCCTAATCAGTCAAAATTGTGGGATAGTTAATCTTTATCAGTATATTAATATGTGAGTACTTACACTAATCAGTCTCAAACAGTGTAGAGGACTAGCCTAATCAGGCAAAAGTGTGCGAGGACGTACCTGAATCAGTCAAACAGAGTGCGAGGAATAACACTAATCAGTCTAAAAAAGTGTGCTAGATCTAAGAACAACGTGCAAGGTTGTTCCCTAATCAGTGAAACGGTTTTCAGGAATCAACCCTGATCAGTGTGCAATGACTACCCTTAATCCTGTAGTTAGACTGTGTTCAATGACAAACCATAGTAAGTAAAACAGTGTTCGAGGACTAACTCTAGTCTAGTCTCTAGGATTAACTTAGTTAGACTGTGTGCGAAGACTGATCCTAATCAGTCAAACAGTGTGCGAGGGATAACCGTAATCAATTAAGCTGTATGCGGAAACTAACCTTATCTTAGAATGGATAGGTGGGATACTTATCCTGATCAATGGAATTGTATGCAAGGATAAATCCAGTCTCCAAGTTGTGGTTTAGACTTAGTGGTATAAACTAAGGTCACCTTTTAAAAAATTGTTTCGTTGCCCTCTCCCGACAGACTGACTAAAATGGCCTGATTCTAAACATATTTTATAGTTGCGGGACATGATTTTATTTTTATGTTGAATTCTTTTGGAAAAAATCTATCCGTCTATCTATCTAGCTAATACTTTTATATAATTATTCGGCAAACGAATTCTATCAGAAAGATCAGTCATTCTTATGTCGACACGATTTATCCTCACGAGCTTGAAATAAAAGATACCACAGAATCTGACACATCTGTTTCATATTTAAACTTTTACTGGAAAAAGACGCTGTTTATCTAGCAACAAAAATTTATGATAATGTGATGACTTTAAATTTTCAATCGACATCTTCCCTTACTCAATATGCAGCAACAAACGAGGGCTGTTCAATAGATAATGTCCTCAGTGCTCGGAAAGAAGGAGGAAATGATGCTTTTCAATTATTTATTCTGACTGATTTAACCTAAATATTTTCTTTTAATTAGAACACATAAGAATTTGAACAACAAGACAACTAATATTTAAGAAAAAAAAGAATATATAAAACTGTCTTAAAGTTTGTCCTCTTGAAATTCTTTGCTCTTTCCAGACCTTTGCAATTTTTGTAAAGTGCATCGTATTGTAAAAATGTTTAAAGGGTAAAAATCAATTAATTCAAGTTTCATTATTTGTTTGAATTTCAGAAAAACGTGGATAACTACAATCTCTGATTTTTTTTTAAAAAAATACAGTGTACACTTTTTAGATATTCTTACATTTCACATGTTTTGTCTTGTTCACTCATTTTTCAAAGCAACAGTAAACAATCAATCAATCAAAGCATAGGGTGACCATTTATAGTGCTTAGCTTTTTTACCGTCAAATGTGAACTACCTCCAAATTGATGCCTAATAAATTTGCTATGTGTTTTAAAGTCCATTAAACATCATAAGTGATAATTTGTTGAATCTTGGCAAACAGAGCCATTGGTTGTTCTAAGTCCTTGTCGTCAAGGACAGTTCGAAGTTTTTGAAGCCCATTATATCATTACTGTTCCTGTGTCTATAAAACAACCATTGGTTGCTGTAAATTTCACATATTTCAGTAAATATTTCTTTGTGATTCTCAACAAGTTTTACAGCAGCGTTCATGAAGCATTTAATTTCACTCTAGTTTACTAATTCTTTACCATTTATTTTTGATGCAGTGTCTCGAATAGCCCTTGTTTTTCCAGCTTCTCACAATGAAAAAATTATGAGAGATGAAAAGTGGTAACATAAACTGATATCAATTCATTAAAGATTCAATCTCAGGCACGTAACATCGTTTTTGAAAGTGGGGGGGGGGGCAACCTGAGAAAATTTTTTTTTACTTACCTAAAAAAAGTTGACAAGCAAAAAAAAAAAAAACCAAAATTGCCCAAACTCGAAAAATCCTATTTGGTGGTGGTGGTGGTGGTGGTGGTGGGTGGGGGGGGGGGGGGGTAGTGGCCAACTTTTTTCAAGGCAAACTTACTTTTACTTCCAATTTTTTCCTATATTTTCTTGCTATGTATATACTGCGGTAAAAGGTGGGGGCGGGGGGGGCAACCATCTTTTTAATAGACATTTTCTATAGTGAAGGTAATGTTGGGGAAAAAAGTGGGAGGAGGGGCCAGGCCCCCCCTGCCCCCCCCCCCCGGATACTACGTGCCTGAATCTTGAGAGAAAGTCAAGTTTAATATCATATGATATATGTGTTGTACGAGGGGTTATCAAAAAGATCGTAGACTGAGGCTATGAAATTAATACTATGTACTCTGTGCTTTCAAAATTTGTAAGGAACATTAAACAACAAAAAATAAAGAAATGTCGAAAATTTTAGCTTGATACGTATATTATTTTCCAAATAATCATAAAATAATAACGATATCATAGGATCAATCGGCGCTGTCGCCGTTTAGTTTTATGACGTCATACAACGTCATTGTTTTTCAATGTCCGCTTCTTCTACTTCATACACTTATTTTCATGAGATTCCATGGAGCTTAACAAGGACTTTAATCCATCTTATTTATATGATTTTACAATGTCATGAACAGCGGCTTTCAATGCATATTATATTGCAAATGGATTTATACAGTGGGAGAGATCCTCGCTTGATTGTGCAAGCATATTTGCATTTTTGAGTTTAATTTCTACAACACATGATCGACGTCATTTTTTGACGCGATTGACTGTTCACACCTTGACTACAAATCGACATTACTTGTGCATCGCCTTTCTCTCTGACTCTCTTTTGGGATTAAAAAACAAGTACTCTGGAAGCATTTTATTTCTCCGTAGCCAGTTCAAACATTTTCTAGGTCTAAACCAGTTTTTTCATTGGCAAACCTTATAGAATGTTGGAAAAGGAAACCCCTTCCCCCTTTTGACGTCATTTTCAAGGCCTTATTTGTTTGGACACTCCATGTAAAATTTACGATAAATTTTCATAGAACTTCTAGAATGAGGTAAAAATTCAATATTTTATGGAAAAAATAGTGTCCCAATAAATACCTAAAATAAGGGGATTTTTGATTGTCAAATGTCAAATGTTCATATCAAAAGAGTTCTTCTCAGTTACACGAAAAAACGTAGTGTTTGAGGTTGTGCCACTTGGACATACCATTGCTAGCAAAAACATTACTAATTTATTAAAAAGAATTACATTTAAGATTTGAGGTTTATTCTTTAAATAGAAAAGATGATGCTTACTAGATATTTTAAGATTCATTGATGTACCTAAAGCGGTTTTAATTTTATAGCGCTAGTCCACATACTTTTTGATAACCCCTCGTATGTTATATAGTTCAGGACATGATTTATTGAACAGCCCTCATACGGAGTTTATACATGTATCTAACAAGTGATTCGGTACGGAAGAGCATGTTCTACGTATGAAGAATTTATATATAAAACGAGGTAAAATATTGACAAACAAACTTAAGTTGATGAAGCTAGAATATCAGCAGTCTCGTTCAAAGTCATCATTTCGTTATAGTTCCTGTCCCATGTAAATAACCATTTCATATTTCAAGCACAAAATAATTCATGAAAAATTAGAGAGTCTTTTGTTTTTTTGTTTTTTTTTTTATCAACTGTGCTACGGAATAGAATCGACTATTAACCTGATATCGTGACTTCAATGTCAATAGATTTTTCAAGAATGTTTGTCTCTTTTTTGATTATACGACGGGCATTTCAAAACCTCTGACTACTGTTTAATTAAAAATTAACTGTTTCAAGGAAATTTTTAAATGTTGTTTGTTTTGATTTGTCTGCTTGTTTTTTAAAATTACTTAACACAAACACATCCTTTCATATACATAGTATGGCCATCATCATTCAAATACAATTCTTTTAAGGTCGGAAAAAATGATTCACGGTATGCAATTACATGCTCACCTATATACAGTAGTATAGAAAAGACATATTTGTTTAGAGAAAAAATATCTTAAAGCAAAAAACTTTTGTATACAGTACTCGTATTTCAAGTTAAAAAGCAAGTAAGATGAGAATCATCGTAGGACATGGTTAATTGTTGTGATTAATGTGTCCTATCTACACTCTGTATTAAATGATTTTTTTAAATCAGTATAACAAACTGACGCATTAACCTTTCTATATATCTCCTAGAGAGTTTTACGTCCATATCACTTACGGCCACTTGTCTCATTTTCTCTGTCGAGGAGATTGATTGATTGTTGTTTTACATCACATTCGATAATTCTTCACACAAAATGAAACATCACCGTAAACCGATGAAGGGCTTTTAATTTTGACCTTTACTCGGCATTTAGAGCCATTGAGCAGTGAGGGATC